ATGTACATGTTACATGTACATGTTGAACCTACAGTATCCCGGTAGCTCGGGAAGCATCGTTCGCCAATATGAATTAAAGGCCTCTAACGCTGCAGGAAAATTTTAGTAGAAGATTTAGAACTATGTATGTATTCAGTTTTAGCGTTTGTTCCCGCTTTGAGGGCATGAAACTCCCGTGCCGTATTATTGTCCCTAATAAGATTATTCATTCGCATTCATACAGTTCGAAGTGGATTGGGGAACGCAATTTAGCTTGAAATCCATTGTGTCTCTGGCTAGTTCTGAAAAGAAATCAATCATGGATTAACAAGTTTCGGTCAATCGCAGACGCCTCCGCGCCAGGCTCTGCCAGCTGCAGGCTTGTGGCAAACGGCCGCTGAGGGGCGGCTGGACAGCCGGCGGGCCGGGACGGGGTTGGTTCGGTCGAGTCTTTTAGCCTAGTAGTGTGGCCTTGGGAGCTCAGAAGGGATAGTGCTTGGTGTAGGGGGAAACTAGTCAGCTGAGCCTGCAGGGATCTTCCCGGGTTCAGGAGGTAGCTACCTCTATAGATGTCGCCACATGAGAGTCTGAGAGTTGTTCGAAGTTCTTTGGATAGGTTTATGTGTCATGCGCGTGTTGCCCCGCTGAGGGCATTGGTGGGCAGCACGAGGGGGGTATAGTGGCCGTGGGGCTGGGGTTGTGTTTTTCTGCAGTGTAAGGACCCTTAGCAACTTGTTTCCGCCTTCCCATATCAACCATCCAGGAGAACAGAAATGAAGAGGCCACGCGTACGTTGGTAATTTAATTTATCCCAGAATCCCAGCCCAAAATAACCGTCATAGCTTAGATTTGAACCTGAGTGGAATCCGGAAGAGTTCATTCTCTATGGTATCACTTCAGTAAAAATAACTACAGCGGTTGAGGCAAGTCTAAGGTCGTAACAAGCTTATGTGCGACAAGCATGTGCTGTCCTGCTTGCCTGCAGAAACGCTGGCAAGTTCTTTTATTATTGCAAGGACAACTAGGGGGGGGGCTAAGTTTTATAAACAGTTGGGCACATCTGTTGGCGGTAGTACATCCTGTGTGCAAGACTGCCCCATCCCCAGTTGTGAGCCTCCGCTTCTGGCTCGTCTCGTTCACCTGTTGCTGTTTCATTATCGCCTACCCCGTTGGATACGGCCTCGTTGGTAATGGCAAATCCGTTTCGTCTGCGCGGACCTCGTCGCTAGTGCAGCTTATGTGTCAGGATGCTGCTGTCTTTGCGGCTCTGAACTGCTGAGCCTCGTCGATTCTGTAACACAAAGACTAATTGCCTCTGCACCGATTGTCTCTGCACTTATTCCGTCCACTCGCATACTCCACACTTCTGAATTCGAGCAGCTTCAGCGAATGACTGGATTAGTTATGTGCCCCAAATTCAGTTCGACTCCACACAGCCTTCTGTCTTCCAGCTGTGCTGGGCATCACGGTTTCGTTCATCCGCCTCCTGCTTGCGCTCAGGAGTATCTGCACTGCATTCAACATCAGGTGGTTTTCTGTTGCCGAAGTGGGTTGCTGATAAGTGTCGTTCTTCGCTGTTCGGCATGACTCAGCTTCGTACCACACTTGTTATCACCTGTACGATGTTGTTGCTGCGATAGGAAAGCAT